TATATATATATATATATATATATATATATATATATATATATATATATATATATATATATATATATATATATATATATATATATATATATATATATATATATATATATATATATATATATACTGAAAGCGCTCGGATAAAAAGAACATTCGGACAGTTTTATATAATCCATCATCCTAAAAGAAAAAAAATATTACATTGCATGAGAAATTGTATAAAAAATAAATAAAATCACCTTGTTGTCTGTCGTATTCAATGAAATGATATATATATATATATATATAGATAGATAGATAGATGGAGATATGGATGTATATATATATATATATATATATATATATATATATATATATATATATATATATATATATATATGTGTGTATATATATATATATATATATATATATATTTATAAGATTTCTTATTGGTGTGCATATAAATGTATACAGAAAACATCTACCCACTCATCTTGTGCATAAAATTTGTGTGTCCCAGAAGATGAATATAGAACAATCGCCCTTGGCGTGATATTTCTCTGATATTTGCCCTATTTACAGAGTCATATAAATTTGCCTTTAGAGAAAATGAAACTGGCAAAAGACATTAGCTTCATCCAAGTCTTAAAAATAACTCGCTTTTAAATACATATTTAAATACATAAGTTAAATCAAACAAACATCAAACATGTCTAATGTATATGTGTGTGTTTGTGTGCGTGTGTGTGTGTGTATTTTTTGTGTGGCTGTGGATATGTGAACAGGGATAAAATTTATGTCAAATATTATCCATTTTAACGACCTATAAATTTTATATATATATATATATATATATATATATATATATATATATATATATATATATGTGTGTGTGTGTGTGTGTGGAGAGAGAGAGTAAGAGAGAACTAATACCATGATCCTCAAAAGCCTGTACAGAAAATATATATATATATATATATATATATATATATATATATATATATATATATATATATATATATATATATATATATATATATATATATATATATATATATATATATATATGTTGTGTGTGTGTGTTAACAGGGATAAAATTTAGCTCAAATATTATCCATTTTTGGTGATATATATATATATATATATATATATATATATATATATATATGAGAGAGAGAGAGAGAGATTTTGTACTGGACTCTACTGTTGGTTTCGACGTATGAGGGTCTGACAACTTAAACAATTGATTCAGTTATGAAATTTTGTGTGATAATCTTAAGTGCCACTCAATGTAGAGGCTTACAATGTGGAGTTGTATTACCGTAAGAAAAGGCAACAGTTTTTTTGTTTTTTTGGGTGTTATGCAGTTAGTCTAGAAAAAGTCAAGATTTTAGTGTATAAATTTCAAAGTTCAGGCAGAGACGTTAGAAGTATAAAGTTGGCATAGACTTTAGAATGAGCCAGAAAACAAATCCTAAACAGGGAAAAAGGGATTATCCACGGGGAAGAGTGAGCACCGGACGATAGCTAAACCTATTTACTTACTGAAAAAAAAAAGTTTAGATTTTAAGACAATTTTTGTTCATACGCACTTTATATAGATATAAATATTTAAGTAAATGCTCTGTTTATAATAAACAACATTTACCAGCCTAAATGTCCGAGAAATTTTCATAGAAAATATGCGTCCTCCGAGAGTAATCGAACCTGTATCCTATACGGAACTGTCATATAGCCTGACGTGACTTAACCGAAAGGGCCACAGAGGAACGTTCGGTTAGCTAGGTCGATATTACTGTTTTTAAACTATAATTGTCCATGGTGTTCTCACGTACATTCATATCTGCTCGATGCGTATCCAAATGTAAACAAATGACGCCACACATTATGAAATGGACAAAGTCCGACAATTATTTTAAGTTATTTTTATGTTTATACATTTTTTTATAGATACAAATATTTTAGTAATTGCTCTGTTTATAATAAACAGTATTAACAACATTTACCGCCCGGAATGTCCGAGAAATTTCATAGAAAATATGTGTCCTCCGAGAGGAATTTTCTACGAAAATTTCTCGGACAACCAGGCCTGTAAATGTTATTAATACTGTTTATTATAAACAGAAAATTTACTTAAATATTTGTATCTACAAAAAGACCGTATAAACATAAAAATGTCTTAAAATAATTGTCGGACTTTGTCCATTTCATATAGTTTATATTACTTTTTATTAAGCGTCGTCACTAAAGATAGGGAACAGGTGAAGACATCATGTGTCTAATCAACAAAGCCCGACACGCTTTCAGCATTCTGCGGCCAATCTGAAGATCAATAACCCTCTCACTTTTAACAAGATCTGGATCTTAAACACCAATGTCAAGTCAGTCCTACTTTACAGCTCAAAAATGTGGCGGGTAACCAAGACCAACACCCACAAACTTCAGACATTTATCAACCCATGTCCAGGAACATCTTCAATATCAGGTGGCAGGAGGTCATCTCCAATGACCAACTGTGGGACAGAAGCAGACAAGCCTCAATCGAGATTGACATCAAGAAACGGAAATGGGGATGGATCGTCCAAACATTCTGCAAGCCTGCTTTAGTGTCACCAGGCACGCCCTTGACTGGTAACCACAAGGGAAGTCATCTCCAATGACCAACTGTGGGACAGGAGCAGACAAGCCCCAATAAAGATTGACATCAAGAAACGGAAATGGGGATGGATCGGCCACACACGCCGCAAGACTGCTTCTAGTGTCACCAGGCAGGCAGGCAGGCAGGCAGGCCTTTGATTGGAATCCACACGGGAAGCGAAAATTGGATCGACCAAAACAGACTTGGCGCATAAGTGTTGACGCAGAGGTGAAGGCAGCCGGCACGGCATGGGTCGAGGTGAAGAGTATCGCCCGGAACGGCGTCCGTTGGAGAGATGCTGTTGCAGCCCTTTGTTCTCCAAGGAATCAAGAATAATAATAATAATAATAATAATTCCTGCCAAATTTGTTCTAATGACGATAACAATCATCCTGAACATTCAATTTTAAAAATGCTTTCTTTATTTGACATGGCATTTTAAGTCTGGGACACGTAGCTTGGGAAAGAATGTTCCACAAGTGAAAGGTTGTGCCTTTTACAGCATACTTGACAATAATTTAATCATGTAATCTTTGACCAATACCAACAAACTTCAGAAATTCACCAATTGATATCTCAGAAACGTCCTCAATATCATGTGACAGGAAGTTGTCTCCAAAAACCAATCGAGATTGACATGAAGAAACAGAAATGGCGATGGATCGGCCACACACTCTGCAAGACTGCTTCTAGTGTCACCAGGCAGGTTCTTGACTGGAATCCACAAGGGGAGCGAAAAGTGGATTGACCGAAAAAGACTTGGCTCGGAGGTGAAGGCAGCCGGCACGACATAGGTCGATTTGAAGAAGATCGCCCGGAACGGCCTCCGTTGGAGAGATGTTGTGGCCCTGTGTTACTTAAGGAATCAAGAGACATAAGAAGAATTATTATTTATATATTACTTGCAAAGTACAATACATTTTACAATATTATTGTAGTAGGTGTTGGCAACAAGTGGTTTCAATCATGAATCACCTCAACCTTTTTTTTCTATTTTCAACTATGAATCATAGTAAAAACTTTATATAACATCCTGCCCCACGAATTCTAATACAGATTCTATATTTAACTCCGGTTTTATTTACTCTGCGACTCCGAATATATGTGTTTAATTTATGGGTTTAATCTATTTGTTTAATTTATGTGTTTAATTTATGTGTTTAATTTATTTGTTTAATTTATGTGTTTAATTTATTTGTTTAATTTATGTGTTTAATTTATGTGTTTAATTTATTTGTTTAATTTATGTGTTTAATTTATTTGCTTAATTTTATGTGTTTAATTTATGCGTTTAATGACCGGCTTGACAGAGAAGAATACCCGGTCTCCTTCAAAGTCAGTAACTGGTTTTGAACTCGGATAGAATAGCAAGCGTTTGAATGGTGATTATCAAAACAAATAGACAACTGACAGAATGTTGATTTTCATGACAAAAATTGACGCAATACGATCTTCCTAATCACTCGTAAGTATTAACAACTTTTAGCTTCGTCTAACACAATGACACAACTGTCAACCGTCGAGTCAAACATTTGCTTAGAAAGACGACCGACCTACACTACACTAAAATGGACTCTTCCATTGATTATGGAACTAGTCGCAAGTCGGGCACAAAGTAGTTGCAAGTCGGACACAAAGTAGTCGCAAGTTGAATACATAGTAGTGCTAAGTCGGATGCAAACTAGTCGCAAGTCGGATGCAAACGAGTCGCAAGTCGGATGCAAACTAGTCGCAAGTGGGACACAATGTAGTCGCAAGTCGGACACAAAGTGGTCGCAAGCTTAACACAAACTAGTCGCATGTCGGACACAAAGTAGTTGCAAGTTGGACACAAAGTAGTCGCAAGTCGGACACAAAGTGGTCGCATATTTAGCACAAACTAGTTGCATGTCGAACACAAACTAGATGCAAGTCGGATACAAACTCGTCGCAAGTCGGACACAAACTAGTTGCATGTCGAACAGAAAGTATTCGTACGATTGTCGCTTTAACTACGGCATTTGCTGGTATTGTAATATTAATGATTAAACAGTTCTTTGAAAAGTTCCAGTGTTTTCCTTTTGAATATTATTAATCTGTACCACGTGTTGATAAGAGCATTATAACAAAATAACTTTGTGATTTTGTTTACGTGGGTATCGCAAGGAATCTTTAAAACTGTATATGAAATAAATTTCGCTGGCAGATGAAAAATGTTCTATTGAATAACTAAAGAACTCTTAGCTTTTGATTTCTCTTTCGAAATTTCTCTTCTTTTACTAATCATTTGTTATTTTTTTGTACAGCGCTTCAGTGCGAATGCACGACAAAAGACTGCAAGGTTCAGCGGATGGTAACATGCAATGCTAAATTCGCTTGTTACGTGCAGATGCATGCCACTGGAGACGGGATGCTCCTTGGGCCAGTCGTCCGAGGATGTATCGATTTGAAGACGCCTATCCTATGCGAAAATCGCCGGCCACAGCAAATCTCCATAAAGACCAGCTGGCCAGTGTTGCATTGCTGTAAGAAAGACTTTTGCAATAAACAAGTGATGCCTACCCTACCGGTTGATATCAAAGGTAAGTAGCCATATAGTTTTAATTCGGAACGCCACAAATTCTACCAATGTTTTTTTTTTTTTTTTTTAAACAGGTCGAATGAACGTAAAACAACCAATAAAAGTCAAATAACACAAAAGTAAAAAGGCCAGAATTTATTTCTTCTTTTTCTCCATAACTCATTCTTTATCTTACATTAATGTTCTTTACCTTATCATGAGGTAGCGTAATTATTCTGTTTCGGTCTATATCTATCTATCTATCTATCTATCTATCTATCTATGTGTCTGTCTCAATCTATCTCAGTCTGTTCATATCTATCTATCTATCTATCTATCATATCTATCTATCTATCTATTTATTTCTATTCTATTCATCTATCTATCTATCTATCTATCTATCCATCTATCTATCTCAGTCTGTTCATATCTATCTATCTATCTGTTCTATCTATCTATTCATCATCTATCTATCTCATCTATCTATCTCAGTCTGTTCATATCTATCTATCTATCTATCTATCTCAGTCTGTCTATATCTATCTATCTCAGTCTGTTCATATCTATCTATCTATCTATCTATCCCAGTCTGTTCTATCTATCTATCTATCTATCTATCTATCTATCTATCTATCTATCTCAGTCTGTTCATCTATCTATCTATCTATCTATCTATCTATCTATCTATCTATCTATCTCAGTCTGTTCATATCTATCTATCTATCTATCTATCTATCTATCTATCTATCTATCTATCTATCTATCTCAGTCTGCTCATATCTATCTATCTATCTATCTCAATTTCTTCATATCTATCTATCTATCTATCTCAGTCTTAAGAAGTTGAAGCAGGAAACTGACTCTCGTCATCCACTCCAGAGGCTCGTATCAAGTCACAGGTTTCTAAATTCAGTCGAATCACTAAGCAATTAGAGCTCCTCGTAAGCGTCCGTCCCGATGGTGCAGCCACCTTAACAACGTGGGACACAGGTTCTCTCGGCCAACCCTGCAGAATAACTACCCTGGCTCTAGTGATACGTGGCCCTTCTGGTTCTGCTTAAACGCTACCCACTGAACAGGTGTTGGTCTCTGTAGAGCGAACCTTCGGAGATTTGCCACCGACGATGACACCAACTTCAAATGCAGGTAATTACAGACTATGGAACTGCAGGTTTCCCGACTTTTGAAGATTCATGCACACTTAACGACATTGAAAAAGTATAGGTATCTTCATGAGATCGCTAAAAACAGAGCATAGCATGATGAAAAATTTTAGCGTCTAAATGTTTATATTATTATTGAGAGGAAAGATCAAAGTATTTTTTAATTATTTTTTAAAAATTTTTACTTCATTTTAGAAAATTCTAAACTTTGATTTAAAAAAAACCTTTTTTCTGAATGTGTCACCGGAACGAGTAAAATAACATACTAAATTTTAGAGCATTTTTTCTGTATGACACATTAATTTTGAAAATCTTGCAAAAATAAAAATAATTGTCGGATTTTAATGAAACTTTCAGAAACTATTCACAAATGATGGAACTTATTAGAAATATGTTTTCCATTTTTTAAGTCATAGCAAAAATATTTTTTTTATTTTCGCATTTATTTTTTTCTCGCGTTTATTTTTTGTGCTTCGAAACAGTTTTGTAGAGGCAAACAAATTACACTGTTCTGCTAATATTGACGTTAGTTTTAACCCTTTGATTTTGTTTTGAAGTTAACCACTCTCTTGTGGTCCAACAGCTTGAGAGTGGAAAAGAGGGCAAGAATAGATTAGAACTCCAATACTATGAATGAAAAGTTATTCCGTTTAATTTAGTAAAGTAACATATATCTATCTAAAAAAAGGCAGGGTGTGTGTGTGTGTGTGTGTGTGTGTGTGTGTGTGTGTGTGTGTGTGTGTGTGTGTGTGTGTGTGTGTGTGTAACGAATGCACGGCCGCAATTTTCGACCAATTTGCACCAAAATTTACATGCACATACTCCAAATTACCGGGAAGGCCAAGACCGACGTTGCATTTCACAACCCCCATAGTGGAAATAATCGATTTTTTAATGCTTCTACGGCAGTTTTCATTTAGTTTGCGACCATTTTCTACTGGCCAGAGTGAGAGCCAATAGCTGGCTGCCACGAACAGACAGGAAGATTTTATTGGCCAGTGTGAGAGCCAACAGCTGACTGACACGAATGTTAACTAGCATGCTAGCATGCAAAAAAATCGATAGCTGCATTCGTCACAAGTGGGAAAAATTTAAATTTACATGGCACTTTACTCCAATTGGCTCATTCGCTTGCTTAAACTCAATGTTGATTCTGATTCCGCAGAAGTGGGTTGGGTGTGAAAAAGTATTTGTTGTTAACATTTCTTTTTCATTCGGTTTTTCCAGTTACGAATCCTTTTTTAAAGCTGATCGTTTTGTGTTCATTTTGTTTAGTTCTTTTTTCGTAACAGATTTAATGTTTAGTATAGAGCTTAGAAAAAAATTCGCAGTGTGAGATGTAGCAACATCAGCAGGGCAAAGGACACTCTTTTAAAGTAAAGGAAGGGCAAAAATATTTTAAGTCAAGTGATAGCGATTGCTGTAAGAGTCGTACGATTTTTGAATCAAGCACGGGCAACGACGGGCCATGCTGCTAGTTTATACTAAAACTCATTCCTAAGTTGTGTATACCATAACACCTGTCAAGGCTCTCTGTGCACAAAACTGGATGGGTATGGTGTAGCGACTTTATAAGAAGATCTTTACTTCTTACCTCCTCCTCTTACATTCATATAACAACCTCATTCAGCAACCCTATACCTTGAGTGCCTCTCGGGAATAATTCTGAATAAGTAATAAAAAAATTAAAAAAAAAACAAATAATAAAAATGCTACCTCGGGACGATTGAACTTAATTTTCATTATCAGCTTTCTGCAATATCACTAAAATATTCAATAGTGAATTGGATGCTTACAAGGGAGGTAACTCTTATTATTAACTTAGAGTTATTGTCCTTGAATGTATTTGAAAGTCTTTTTTTCTTAAATTGCGTAATTATAAATAAATAATTCGCAAAATTAATTGAAATAAGAGAAATAATCTAAAATATTTTTTATGCGGATTAATTTTGTAATAATTCAGAAATTGAAAGAATTAAAATTCAAGATGTTTTCAGTTTACAGCATTTTTATTCTTCGACCACTAAATTAAATTCTTAGAAACAAAATAACAGAATCGCATGAAATTTGACCTCTAAACCTATGAAACGGAAGCTTGCACACTTTGTAACAACATCGTTAAGTAAAGCCACAAGATTCTATCCCTCTCTTCCTCCCTAATTGCTCTGTTGTTATTATTATTATTATTATTATTATTATTATTATTACTACTACTACTACTACTACTACTTTTATTTCCTACTACTACTACTACTTTTATTTTCTTTGATTTTCCTATCTGATCTTGCTCCAAATTTTCTGTAACCCCTTGCGTCCTAGTGGCGTTCTATATATATAAAGAAAGAACAGCAAGATATATAATCCGGTGTTCTTATAGATATTTTCATTTTTCCAAAATAGTGCTCAATGTAAGTTTACAGAGCATTAATATTATACCGAAAAAAATATATATATATATATATATATATATATATATATATATGACATATCACAATCATCATTGCCATAAGTCTCATGATCAGACACCTCTATATGTTTTGATTGCCTGATTACGTCTGACCATGTTCATAGAATTTTACGCCATCTGGTCTTTCTCTCATTTGTGTGTATGTGTAAAAATATTAATAAGAACACCGGATTATATATCTCCCTGTTTATTATATATTATATATATATATATATATATATATATATATATATATATATATATATATATATATGGTCAAGTCCTTGGAGAAATTAAATCATCAATGTTTTTTCCTTGAACAGGACTTCTAGTTATAGCTGCGATGCCTTATAAAATTGAAATAAATTAATATACTTATTTTAACTTCCTTCTAAGTCAATGTTCTTTGTTTTCCAAACGCGGGAGAATTTTCCCTTGTGAACTCGGATCTCTGAATCTGGCTTTTAACTATTGTTTCTTGTTGCTCTTTTCTTGATGTCAAATGCTTTCTTCCCCTTGATGTTAATTTGCTTAGTCCCCTTGTTGTAAAAATGTCTTTCCTTCCCCCTTCCATTGTTAAGAGTTCCCAAGGTTCTCATTCGGGCTCTTACTCTAGAGCGTAAAACCACGATTCTCATTCGTCAGTATATACGAAAAAATATTTTTTCCCTAAACTAGTAATGGACCCTTCTCGATTTGGACGTTTTTAACCGTTGAGCCGTAAAAGATCTACAAGTGTAAGAATTTCTCACACAAACCGTCAGGCCTTCATGAAAATACACTTCTCTCAAAAGAACGTGAACGAAAAAAAATAAAAAATAAAAATAAAAACAACCCAGACGATTAAACATTTATTCAAGGTTCACATTTCTACGTATTAAAAATAAATTTTTTATAGTAAATAAAACACATATTTTTTAAAATAATAAATATGTATTAATTGCTTTTATGAATATAACTGGCGGTCCGAATGTCTTGTCACCCCTACATAATACAATTTTCTGTTACAGATGGCTGACACGAAAATGATGGGTTTCATACAGGCCATCTCGATGTGTGACAGCGTCAATGAAATGTGTTAACTGAATTACACGTGCTTTGTATTAGTGTATTTTTTTCTCCTATTATTTTCATTACTTCGTGGTATGGGTGACAAAACTTTCTGACCACGCTGTAGATTAAAGAAATTATCACTGAAAGTCATATCGCCGCTACGTAATGTAATTTTCAGTTTTAGCGCTTTGTGAGGTATTTATCAAGGAGAGAGTTTCACGAGAACGACACTAGAATACCCCTCAGTTGAAGGACGCTGTTCGAAGAGCCTTTGCAACAATCAACAAAGCAAAGCTTCGTAAAATATAACACAGGACATGGCGTCGCATCATTATGTGCCAGGAAAATGATGGAAGTTCATGGAGACCTTTTCGATGTGTGACAGCGTCAATAAAATTAAATAAACTGAATCCAGTAAATGTGCTTCGTATGAGTGTATTACTTGTTCTTCTATTGTTCTCATTGCATTTTAGTAGAGGGACTTTCGATCTGTCCAGTATTAATATAGCACTTGGAATGATATTCTTATCAACATTTAATATTCTAAAAGTAATACCAGGAATTTATATGCTTAGAAGGAAGATCCTTGTTGTTTCTAGTTACATCTACATAAATTGTTAACTAAAAAATTGCCTCTATGTCGATGTGTCTAATAGAATAAAAAAGATAAGCTGAGCATACAATAAGTACAATAATAAAGATTTGAAGAATTCTAAAAAAACATTTAGAATCAAATTCACATAGTGACACTCGATTCAAAAGTGACATCAATTTAAAAATGGCGAGTTAAAGGGAAGTTATAAAGTTAAACACAAGAGTTACTTCCCATGGTAACATATTTTGAACTTAATTTTTTATCCGGTCTCATATAGTACCACGTCATAAAGGGAAATAACTCAGTATGACACCCAACACCCTAATCCAGCAGTCGGCAAATAGAGGTTATGTCGGAATCAGTCAAGATTGAATATTCGGTGTGTAATGAAGCGATAAACGCAACCAACTCGAATTTTTTTTAACCAAGAGACGCGGTTGGATCAAATTGTCTATTTATTTTTTAATTCTTTACTTAAACTTTTCCAGGTAACTTTTTGCGTCGGTTTTGCTTGTCTTGATAATAGTCATCTGATAAAAATAGAACTGTAGAAAAGCGTAATAAGACATTTTAAAGCTTTAA